AAGTGCTGAGGGCAGAGGGCAGAGGCCAGGGCCCAGGCCCAGGCTCAGGCTCAGGCCTGAGGATGGCCCACTATCTAGACTGTCACCACTACCCAGGTGCAGGACCTCCTTATCCAATTTGCTCAGACTCCAACCTGGTAGGATTCACAGGGAACCCAGGGCTCTGCGGGCTGTATTTCTGCCTACCAGAGAAAAGATCAGTGAGTTCCCAAGACTAAGAAGCCCACAGGTGCCAGGCATGGTGGCACATGCCTGTAATCCCAGCACTCAGGAGGCTGAAGCAGATGAGTGCCTCAAGTTCAAGGCCAGCCTGGGCTACATAGTGAGTAGTTCAAGGGTGGCCTGAACTATGTAGTGAGACCCTGTCTCAAGAAAAAAAAAAAAAAAAAAAAAGATGCCTGCAGGTGACCAGCTGTGGAAGAGAAACAGGCCAGACCCTGTCACTGGCTAGCTTACCCATAATTCAGCTTAGAGATTTAGTGCACAGGGCCAGGGATTTAGCTCAGTGGTTTCGCCACCTGCTGCGCAAGCGCAAAGACCCAAGTTTGACCCCCGGTACCAAAAAAAAAAAAAGAGAGATTTGATGCACAGACTTTAAAGTCAGACCTGATTTCAAATCCTGCCTCTGTCTGTTCTTAGCTGTGTCAATTAAGGCAAGGGAATTCAGCTCTCTAGGTTGCATCTATAAAATGAGGATAATACTAGTCCCTACTCTTGGGACTGTCATGAGAAACAAATGAGACAATGCACATGATATGCTGAGTATTGTGCCTGGCACAGTGAAGGTCCTTAACGAGACCATAAATGGAGATAACCTGGTTCACCAGGGAGTCTATGCCTGGCTCACATCTCCTCTTACAACTGGTGAGGATTGCTAATGGGGGCCAGCAATACTGTGCATCCTACCCACTTCCAGTCTCTCTGCTCCTTCTGAGCAGAGCTGCAGCTAAGAGGAGATGGAGGAAATACTGGAGGCTGTGCCCCGGGTGCCAGGCAGAGCTACCATCAGCCAACAAAGCTGCATTATCTGAGCATGCCTTCTTGGCTCCCTCCCTGGCCTTTAGGGGACTCAAGGACATGGTTTCCAGCTATTTGTGGCCTCACTTCCAGGCTTGGTCAGACCTGAGACCTGCCCTTATAGCCTTCAAGTGCTACCACTCTAGTCTGGTCCCTGCTTTCAGCCTTTGCCCTTTCCCTCATCCTTTCCCCACTAACAGCAGGTGCCCATACTAGGCAAGGAGAAGGGCTAAGTTGACCTATTGCCCCTTCCTCCTCTTTTGCTTATGCAGGCCTGCACATTAGGGGCTCATTAGAGGCCTCATTACTAGGCCCACCAGCCCAAGGGTGGGAGAAGTTACCAGCAGGAGGTACTGCCTTAAGTACAGTTGTGGTCCATTGTACTAGTCTCACCAACTTCTACTCAACCTTTCAGGTCCACCTCAAATGCCTCCTCTGAGAAGGCTTCCACAAGCAGAGCCCATAGCCACTGGATCATCATTGCACCTCGCTTCCCCTGGACAAAGCTCCCTGCAGTGAACACATCTGGTTTCCCCATGGGGTTAGGAGCTAGGAGCTAGGAGCTCCCACAGGGGACTGTCTGACTCAGCCCCCTATGTTTAGCACAGCCAGCACTGAGGTGGCACACAGCGAGGCACCAGCATAGTGTGCAGGACAGCTGTTGTACCCATCTCTTGGGTCTTCTCTCCCATTTCCACTGTCCCATGTCAGGTACCAGGGGCCCTCTGTTCACCAGATAGACCCTGGCTCGTTTTTGTCCAGAACTCTGATTCCCTGGCCCTCTGTCATATTTACCTCCTGAAGTTCTAATTCATCACATCTCCTCAGGCATCTGAAGGAATGAGGAAATGATAGCAACACAAACCAAAGCACTGGCATTTATTAAGTACTAATACCTTGCCAGGGCCTAGGCTAAGAGTTTTGTTTTGTTTTTGTTTGGTACTAGGGAGACTGAACCCTGGGGTACTCTACCACTGAGCTATACATTTCCAGACCTTTTAAATTAATTAACTTATTTATTTATTTATATTTTGAGACAGGGTCTTGCTAAGTTGTCCAGGTGGGACTTGAACTTGTATTCCTAATGCCTCAGGGTCCCTCAGTGTAGGATTACAGGCATGAGCCATCATGCCTGGTTTAGGCTAAGAATTTTATGTGTTAGGGGGAGGGAGAAGTGGGAAGGGGAAGTAGAAAGAATTAAGACGTGCTATGTACATGTACCAACTCTTCATGGTGAATGTAATCATTATGTACCACAAACATGAACTAATAAAAATAAAAATTAAAAAAAAAAGAGGGCCGGGGATTTAGCTCAGTGGTTCCACCGCCTGCCTCACAAGCGCAAGGTCCCAAGTTTGATCCCCACTACCAAAAAAATAAATAAATAAAAATTTTAAAAAAGAATGTTATGTGTTCACCTCATTTAATGATCTTAAAGTCTCTGTGAGATAATTTCTACAGTTATTTTCATTTTACAAATGAGAAAATTTAAGACTTAGGTTAAGTGACTTACCAGAGGTCACACAGTAGGGTTATGAAGTGGAACTGACTGTTTCATTCCAGAGTCTCTACTCTTAAACTGCCTTCAACTCCCCGCCCCTGCCCGTGCCTGCGCCCGTATTACATGCTTCCCCGCTGGCATCAGTTCCAATGAGCCTAACCACAATAATGGTAATAACACTTTATTGCAGGTGTCTGGTGCCTGTGTGCCAGGTTCCTTTAAGTTCACCCCACCTCTAACCCTTGCATTAACCCCACCAGATTGATACTACCCCCATTTTTGTGAGGCAGAAGCTGGCTCCAGGACATAATCACTTGCTCCAGTCCAGTAGCCAGTGAAGACCCAACTGGGATTTCCGCCCAGGTCTTCTGACTCAAAAGTTTTCTCCTGGGCTGGGAATTTAGCTCAGCGGCACTGCACCAGCCTCAAAAGCGCAAGGTCCTGAGTTCCATCCCCGTACCAAAAAATAAACAAATAGTTTTCTCCTACCCTATGCTGCCTCCTGTTAGTGTTCAATGTACAAGTACTCAAAAAGGGAAACCAAAAGGGACAGAGGTCATGTCCCATCACTCAGACGCTCAGACACATGCCTCAAGCTCTCCAAGGGGACATGTGGGTATGACATTTATTCTAAGGACTAGCTGCCATCCTGACCCAGGTTCTCATGTAACTCCATCTACACCCCTTTGATTAGAGATTCTTCCTAATCCAAAACCCTGTGTGCAATCCCCACCCTCAACTAGGCCCTTTCAGTATAGGCAAGCATCCTATCCATGCCCTCATATCTAGCCCCACCCCATGCCCTAATTATAAACTAGCCACTGCTCAACTCCTCTACTAATCACTACTCCTATTCAAGCCCCCATATATACACCAGTGCCAGGAAACTTCAGGTGCAGAGGGCCAGTAAGCAGACGGATGACCAAGCTGGGCTTTTCTGGGTGTCCCCTCTTGGGACCAGCACAGCCAAGACAGACATCCTTGTTTTCAGCATACCCTACAAATCTCCTGACCTCCCCAGTCTAGTGCCAGCCTCCCCTGAGTCCTCCCAGATCCCACTCCCACATGGTCCCCTCCAAGAACCCACGCTGGCATGGGGAGGGGAGGGGCCCATCCACAGCCAAGTGACCCCACCTTGTCCTGGGCTCTCTCTGCACCCACAGACACTGTTTCATCCCTGGCCAGGGAGGTGACAGGATTAGGTCTGGGATTCCACAGGAGTGTGGGTGTGGGGATGGAGCCACCTCCCCCCTGAGTCAGTGGGAACAGAACTTGGGTCCTCAGTCATCAGGCTCTTTCCTCCCTTTCCAGGAAGAAAGAGAAGAGCCCTCCCTCCAACACCAGACCCAACCAGAAACCTGACCCCACCCCCCATCAGCTGCTCCCTCATCGAATGGGATTTGCAGAAGTCCTGGGGACACTGGTGGTTGGTGGGGTGAGGGGTGGGAAGGGGAGCTTTGGTTGGGGCCTGGAGATCGCGGGGGCGCACGCGCGTGTGTGTGTCTGTGTGTGTGTGTGTCTGTGTGTGTGTGTGTGTGTGTGTGTGTGAGAGAGAGAGAGAGAGAGAGAGAGAGAGAGGTTAAGAGAGGAGATATTCAAAGCCTCAGGCTGGGGAATGATGTGGCAGGCCCTGCAAGCCTGCAAGCACCGGCCTTGAGCCTTCACCTCATTCTGCAGCGTGCAACTCAGGCCCGGAGAAGCTGGGAAGGCGGGACAAACAGATTTACTTTGTCCTCTTCTTTCCCAAATCGGTCTGGGTGGGCTCTGGAGCAGGCCAGGCTGTAGGGGAAGCGGCCCACTCCCCAGCTCCCGCCCTCGCCCCAAACAATGCCGCCTCCCCCTCCCCCTCGCCTTTCTTTTTCCGGCGGGTTACTTGGCAGCCTCAGCTAGAGACCTCCCCCTCCTCTCCCTCCCTCCCCGCTGGGCCGAAGCAGCAACAGGCCCTTTGCGCGGCAGCTGGACGGATGGGGTGGGGGTGAGGTCTGGGTCTGGGCCTGGGCCTGGGCGCGGGGGCACGAGAGCCTTGGCTTCGGTATGCAGGGCCCGAGGATCTGGACCCCCAACAAATACATCCAGGCTAGGGTCACACGTGCTCATGGCAGCGGATGGTGTGCGGGACAGAAGCCCAGAACCGTAGAAGAGGAATCTTTAAGGCCCGGGTAGATCGGGGAGGGGGATGTGGGGGGGAGGCCGGGGCTGAGGCAGAAGGTTCACCCCAACCACTCCCGAGCAGGATCCCCGAGGATGCCGCTGCCCAGCGCTTCCCGACGCCGGGAGTGGGGGAGGGGGCCTGTCAGAAGATGCGTCGGTGGCCGGGAGCCACCGTGGCCGCCACAGCCTTTATTTTTAAACTTCCAAGTGGTTAGAGGGCGCGGCGCGGGGGGGGGGGTCCCGGTCCCCACCCAGCGGCCGGCCTCATCCTTTGCCTCCCTGCGACCCCTCGACCTCCCTCCCACCGCGCCTCCGCGTGGCTCCCGCGTACCTGGGGGCGCGCCCGGTCCCGGCTCCGCACGCGGGCAGCGTTCCACGGTTGCGGCGTCACTGAGGGGAGGGGGTCCTGGCGTCTCAGAGGCGGAGGCGGCGGCGGCCCGAGGCCAGGACAGGAGTCCCACGGCGCATCACGGCCGGCCCGCCTTGCGGGCAAGGACTCGGAAGCCGCGGTGCTCCGGGGAAGTCGAGGCCCGGGGTCTGTCAGCTCCGGTCGCGCTCGGGCTCTCAGCCCGACGCCGACCCAGTCCCGGCCGCGGCCCAACCCTATTGTACAGCCCCGGCTGGGCCTGGCCTCTCCGCTGGGGCGTACCAAGTGCGGCGCGGGGAGGGCCGCCCCTACCGTGCCCGGGGACCGAGCGACCACCGGCCCGCCACGCCCCCCACTCTGCCCTGGGGCGCGGCACTTGGGGTCCTCTGAGACCACTTCTGCGACGGCAGCGGACGGGGCTCCGCGGATCCCAGAGGACGCCTGGAGAACCGCCTCCCCCTGAAAGCACACTTGGTACGCGCCGGCGCGAGAGAAGACTAAGTAGGGAGCGCTCCAGTGACTCACCCGCCGCTGGGACTGGGGGAGTGGGACGCGGGTCTGGGAACCTCCAATCCCACCATGAAGCCTGAAGGGTCTGGCTTGGGACCGAGCAACCAGCTTCAATCTAAAGTCTCTCCCAACCCACATCAAAGAAAATCTGCCAAGGACATGTCCAGAGGCACGAAGCAGGGTCTCAAGGAGACCCCGCAAAGGGCTATGCTTTCTCCTTTCGGGTGACGGGCTGGAATGCGGAGAGTTCTGGGCGCCTTGCTGCTGCCCTTCCTCTAGCATCCTAGGGTTGGTGTCTTCTCTGTTTCTCTGGGGGTAATTACAGCTTTTTTTCCGCTGCTTTACCCAGGTCTCTAATCTGCTGGGTCCCTCCCGGCTCCAAACTGGGTGGTCCTGGCCCTAAACCTCCCTATCCCCACCAGAAAACACCCCCCCATCTCCCCAGAAGGATTTTCTGGCCTGTGGCCTATTGATGAGAGGGTGGTGGACCCCTCCTGACTCTCCTACCCAGAGTGGCCCTGCTCCTCAGCCCTCTGGAGTGGGCTCTCCAATCCCCTTGTCGGTGCCAGCTGAGATGAAGGCCCCAAGCCAAGTCAGGTTCAGCCTGGGACAGAGGGGGGCCTTGCCAGGAAGGTGGATCGATGATGGTGCTGCTGCAGGATTGACCAAGGGAGGAAAGAGGAGGGGCAGCTGGGCTCTGCCCACCCTGGCCCTGCCCTTTGTCCTGACTTCCAGAAGGTCAGTTCTCTAGTTCTCATTGTCCAGAGATTAGGCCCAGTGAGATGTTGTCCCCCTTTCGGGCCACAATCGCCTTCCTTCCAGAAGCTCCAAAGAGCTATTTAAAGGAGAACGTTGTAAAACAAAAGGGTTGGGGGCTCAGGCAACCTAGGAACAGCCTGCCTTGAAACTTGTGAGCAGCCTGAGGCTTCAACCCTCATGGGAGGATGTGGAGAGGGAGAGACATTAGAAGGAGCTGATGATTTAACTTTAGTGACTTAGCTTTTTCTTAAACCCGGTTTGCTCGCCTATAAAATCAGGCAAATAATAGTGTCATGAAGTATCATGGAGTCACTGTAAAGTTTAAGGCAATGCAGAGCCTGGTGCAGTGGCATACACTTTTATTCCCAGCACTGTGGGAGACTGAGGCAGGAGGATTGTAAATTTGAGCCCAGCCTGGGTGATTCAGTGAGATCCGCTCTTAAAATAAAAAATTAAGGGGGCCAGGGATTTAGCTCAGTGGTTTCGCCGCCTGCTGCGCAGGCACAAGGACCCGAATTCAATCCCTGGTACCAAAAAATAAAAAAATAAAAAATAAAAATAAAAAATTAAGAGCCAGGGATTTAGCTCAGTAGTTCTGCCACCTGCCTCCAAAGCGCAAGGACCGGAGTTCGATCCCCAGTACCAAAAAAATAAATAAATAAAAATGGGCTGGAGATATAGCTCAGGGCAAAGGCCTTGGGTTCAATCCCCAGTTCTAGGAAAAAAAAAAAAATGAGGCAATACTGATGAAATGGGTAGCACAGAGCCTGGTATACAGGAAGTGCTCCATAAATATGATGATGAAGGGTTTGATAATGAAGGAGTTTCCAGTGCAACAGAGGATTAGGATGGGGAGCAGATTCTCCATCTTTGTTGTTAGCCATCCCATCTACAGAGTAAGGGGACCATGGGTAGATGATGGAGTCTGTGACTGTCCTTTTAAGATCAGAGGCCTCAGGGCCTGCATCTTCCAGAGCTGGATAGGCCCGTAAATTTCAGAGAATTTAGAAAATAAAACCCAACTGGATATGGTGATGCACACCTGTATTCCTAGCACTTGGGAGGCTGAGGCAAGAGGATCACCTCAAGTTCTGGGCCAGCTTGGGCTGCATAGTAAGTTCAAGGCCATCCTGAACCACACAGTGAGAACTTGTCTCCAAAAAAACCCACAAAAAACCAAAAAACAAAAGGAAAAGAAAGAGAAAGAAAGGAAGAAAGAAAGACCAACAAGGGAGAGACCTGTATGGTTCTTCCCCCCATCCCACCCCCAGTTTTAAGGTTACTACAGGGACAAAGATGGATACGTGGGAATGGTGAGACACCCTCATTGGCTAGAGCTAAGAAATAATGGAAGGGCAAATGATAGCTAACATGAAAAGATAGGCCCAGGAATGGCCTATACTGTGTAAGAAGACTTAAATGCCAACGGATTTGGAAATGTAGATCCCAGGAAACTGTTGATCAAGGGGTTCTTAGAACTGCAGACTGTGTCTAATTATCTGAATTGATTTGGGGAGCTCACTGAAAAGAGGCAGCATGTAGCGTTAGCTTACATCAGTGGTTCTCTACTAAGGACAATTCTATATCCCCTCTGGACAGAGGAACATTAGGCAATGCTTAAAGATGTCTTGGTTGTCACATCTGGGGGTGCTCCTGGAATCTAATGAGTGGACACCAGGAATGCTGCTTAACATCTTACAATGTGCAGGCCCATCCCCCCAACAAAGAATTATCAGGTCCAAACTGTCAATGATGCCACGGTTGGAACCCTTCCTTCCCTTACTGAGATTCCTGAAGCTCCCCAAGATCCTGTTGCTACAGGCCAGGAGGGTAACTGGGGACTTAGGTAACTTGAGAGGCAGGTGTCCCCAAAGGCTTTTTGCACAGCTGATGGACCACAGAGAACCTGGGACAATGGCTTAGGAGAAGCTGAGAGAGTGGAGTGTCCCAGCTGATGGAGTTAAGGTGGACAGTTGGAGTAGGGTCCTCTCCTCCCCTAATTGACCAGGATTCCTGGCAGGTCCCAGGCCCCGGTAACTGAGCAAGAGTTCATAATGATGTCTTCCTGAGTTTGGGGTCAGGTGATGGTGCCTGGGGACTCCACATGACTCCATATATGTTAGACATCCCAGCCAAGAGTGGCGGCACATGCCTGTAATCTCAGCACTCTGATAGGCTGAGGTAGGAAGACCTCAAATTGGAGCCCGGCCTGGGAAATTTAGCAAGATTTATCTTTAGAAAAAAAAAAAAATCCAGGGGCCGAGGATTTAGCTCAGTGGTTCCGGCGCCTGCCTCGTAAGCACAAGGTCCCGAGTTCGATCCCCGGTACCAAAAAAAAAAAAAAATCCAGTTAGATATCTCAAAGAAGGGGCAAGTGGGGCTCTTGCAACAACAGAGTCTAAAGCCCCAGCAGGGTGCTCTACCTTCATCAGTGAGGGACAGGGAACTTTTGTCACCTCTTCTGCAGCCCAGGGCAGTCCTTACTCCTCCAGGAAAATAGGTGTGAGTGGGTTGAGGTTGGGGGCAGGTCCCTGAGTGAGATTCAAAATAAGTCATCTTCCGGGTCCTCCCAGAGGGAGGGCAGGAACAAGAGCACTTACAACCTGGCAAATTTAATGGGGGTAGAGCCCAGAATGAACCTGATGAAGAGATGAAGGAAATCACTGGGAAATTTGACTCAGATGTGAATGTCAGCTAGAGGCCCTGGATGTGGCCTGCCTGCTCACAAAGTAGGAAGTGGGAGGGGCATCCAGGGGACAGCAGATAGACACCAGATTCTCCCTCCCACTCCACCCCAAGGCCCTGGAGCAAGAAGGGGTCTCTAACCCACACTAGCTCTCCTGGGGAGCCTTAGCCTCCAGGGCCCACTGCCTGAGTCTGGGTCTGGGAAATTCTTCCAAGGGCAGTGGACCCCAGCTGTCTCTCTACCCCGGGCTCTTTGGGAGAGGAAGAACCGAGAAGCATTGGAACAAGGAGGAACTCAGATTCTGTACTAAAAAGGCCTAACCATTTGGGTGCTTGGGAGGAAGTCCTTGTTAGAGTCCCTGATGGGAAGCTGACCCTGCTTGTGTCCTTTTCCGAAAGGCAAAGATAGAGAAGGGGTGCCTGGTTTTCCTAATTGTCCTTGACCCTAGAGTGGTGGAGAGGGGTTGGAATTTCAGAATGATGAAAACTGCACTGAGAAACCTTGGATTAGCTGTATAAGGAACTGGCTGTACTGAGAATTCTTGGACTAGCTATGTAAGGAGGTCCCCCGCCCCCCGCACCTGATTGAATTCAGGGCCTTGTGCATGCAAAGGATACATTTATATCACTGTGCTATACCCCAAAAAGAGCTTTTATGTTTTTTTTATTGGTACTTTTTTGTGTGTGTGTGGTACTGGAGATTGAACTCAGGACCTTGTGTTTTCAAGGCAGGTGCAGTGCCACTGAGCTAAATCCCCAGCCAATTGGTACATTTTAGATATTCATAATGATAAGATTCATCATAGGGAATTTGTACCTGCACATGATTTATCTTGCTTCTTTTTTTTTTTTTTTAACAATTCCCTTCCTCTCCCTTCAACCCCTCTTCCCCTCCTTATTTACAAAAGTTTTGTTTCCATTTTTTCTTCTATTCTCTGTTTTTCTTCTCTTTCCTCTTTTCTTCTTGTTTCTTTTATGTTTCAGTGTAAGAAGGAGGCCCTATAGATCAATAGATGGACCTCACTCTTAATTCAGGGCTGATGACACTACAAGGACAAGTCCCAAGGAGAAAACCCTGCCAAGGGGAGACTCACAAGCAAAGAGAAGAATCTCAGGCTGTGAGACAGGCAGGGAAAGACTCCACCTCCAATTTCTCCAGAACCGCCCAAGGCTGACAAGCAGGCTGGGCGGGGTCAGGCGGCTGGCCGTGACTGTGACTCAGGTTTCTGTGGGGAGCCAAGGCAGCCGGCAGGGAGGAGCACAGGCTGGCCAACTGCAGGGATGGACAGGCTGGCCAACTGCAGCTTTCACCTCAGCTGTCCTCTCTCCTGGGAATGTGGGAGGCTGTCCTTTAGCCATGCTGACCTCCCAGGGTTAGCTGTCCCCTGCTTTTTTCTGCCTCCTTCAGCCGACACTCATATTCCTTCTCAGAGTCCTTAGCCTTTGGCTCATTCCCCTGGGTATGACACAGGAGTGAGTCAGGGGTCACTGCCTCTAGGGAGGCTCTAGAATGTGCCACAGGGAGAAGGGTATAATAATGATTGGTCCTGCACCCTCAGGAAGGAACTGAGGGAACTTCTGGGCCCCTGCAGCCTCCCCCAGCCTAAGCTGGCTCCTCTGCACCGGCTGGTTGTCATGGTGAAGGCTAGGGGCTAGAATACAGCTGCTACAGAGTAAAGCTACCACACTGAAAAGCTCAAAGACTCCACCCTCCCCAGCTCAGCGCCCCAGACTTGACCACCAGGGAGAGATGGCTGGAGTTGAAAACAAAGAACTGTGAGACTTCCCTTTCGTGATAGGTGAGAGTTCAGCCAGTACATTTCCCAGTATTTGCCCCGCTGTGTTTTTGGCGGGTGGCTGAAGGAAGGGAAAATTCGCGTTCACTGTGTGCCTTTTATGTGCCTCATGGGTTTTTTTATTTTGGGACAGGGGATCAAACTCAGGACCTTGCACTTGTGACATAGGTGGCAGAACCACTGAGCTAATACCCCGGCCCATGTGCCCTGTGTTTTGCATGCATGCATGCATCATCAATCTTCACAGGAGCTGAGTGAAATCCAGCAACTGGCCTCAGATGGCAAAGTCTGGTTTAGAACTCAGGACTGGCTGCTACCACTGCTGGTGGTCTTTGTTTTATGAGAACCAGGCAGTATAGCTGTTTTAGGGGAAGGAGGGTAAGAAAGTGACTTGGACTTTATCTAAAAGACTGGAGGGCCAGGCATTTAGCTCAGTGGTGACGCTGCCTGCCTCGCAAGCGAAAGGTCCTGAGTTCAATCCCTGGTACAAAAAAAAAAAATTGTTTAGGGCTGGGGATTTAGCTCAGTGGTTCCAGCGCCTGCCTTGTAAGCACAAGGTCCCAAGATCAATCCCCGGTACCAAAAAAATAAATTAAATAAATAAATAAATAAATAAAAGACTGGATATCCCATTGTGAGGCAAATGGTGGTAGGATGCTGGTGCTGATTGCGTTGAGTTGGGACCAGATGGCAGTTTGAAGCGAAAGTCACTAGCAAAATGCTTGACACAGAGTTGGTGTTCATTAACAATTTTTTTTTTTATAATAGGGGTTGTAGGGCCGGGATTTAGCTCAGTGGTCCCGCTGCCTGCCTCGCAAGTGCAAGGTCCCGAGTTCAATCCCCAATACCACACACACACACACACACACACACACACACACACACACACTAGGGGTTGGTACTGTAGCTCCGCAGTAGAGCACTATAGTGCAAGGTCCTGGGTTCAATTCTCAGCACTGGAAAAATAAAAATAAGCCAGATCTGTATGTGAACCATTGCTAATTTTCTGGGACATCCTGGGAGCTTCGCGAGCTGAATTGCAGCAACAGCGGAAGCAGCTAGTTCGAAAGAGGGACTTTCCAAGACCAACCCTCGAGAAAGGAATTTCCAGCGCATCTTTGAGCCGAGTGAGGGGGAGGAAAAGAAGGGGACAGTGGGTGGATGATACCCGACTGCTGCAAGCTATGGACGCCACCCAGCGGCAGAATACAGCCCGAAGACAGGAGCCGAAAGCCAAGAGCGCGAGGCACTCTGGGACTCCGACTCGTAGTAGTTTCGCTGCGCAAGGGGCCGGGCTTTCACCGGGGCGGTCGGGCGCTGTAGTCCTGTGTTCGTTGGACGGAGTTACCGTCCACTGCTGGACCACGAGTCCCATGGTGCCCAGCGGAAACCGCGCAGACGCAGTGAAGCGGAGCCTATTAGTCCCGGAGGCTAAGGAGCCTTGACTGGGTCGAGCGGCGTCTGGAGGGTCGCCTAGCGGGCTTGCGGAGAGGCGGAAGAGGGAGGTCGGCACCATGTCGAGGCAAGCGAACCGTGGCACCGAGAGCAAGAAAATGGTAACTTGGAGCGCCTGACCCTGGCGGGCGGGGCAGAATAGAGGCGTACCGGAGATAGGGCCTGGCCCCCGCGCGAGCGCTAGGCACGATAGGGAGTCCTCCAAAAAGCTCCGGGAGCCTCCGGGCTTGAGTAGGTGCTGGAGCAGCTTCCCGCAGGAGACTGCTCTCCCCGGGCCCGAGGGCAGCACACGCAACTGCCACTTACTGGTCTCTTAACGTTGTGTCAGGCACTGGGCCAAGCATTTCACGTACATTCTCTCACTAGATCCGCAAAGGAACTCTACTAGATGGATGATGATGTGCCATTTTGCTGCTCAGGGAGGTTATGTAATTCGCTAAAGTTTACACTTAAGAGGATTTGAACTGCTAACTGCAACTGCTAACTTCAGTTTAAATGGCTGTCTTGTCTCAGACTGTGCTGGGGGCATTGTGAGATGTGTTGTGATATGGATCTTGTTAGAAAAGAACTTCCTTCTATCCAGTGGAATAAAGAGGTGGACCAGAGTGAGTGGTGCCCCTCTAATAGTAGGAAGGGCGGGGCTTTCTTCTTGCCCTAGGACTAGTAGAACACAGTAAAGGGGCCGAGGGTTAAGTCTGGACACGGAAGTATAACATTTTTCTCCAAGCTAAGAGGCTTTCCCGGCAGGTGTTAGTTCTCTCCCCCTCTCTCTCTCCCCGGTACCGGGGATTGAACTCGGGTCCTTGCGCTTGGGAGGCAGGCAGCGGGACCACTGAGCTAAATCCCGGCCCTCTGTCTCTCTTTTTTAAGATAGGGTCTTAATATGTAGTTCAGGTAGACCTTGAACTCACCGTGCAGCCCGTGCTGGCCTCAAACTCGTGGCAGTCTCCTGCCTCAGTCTTCCAAGTGCTGGGATTACAAGCGTGCACCACCGCGCCTGGCTCAGGGGTTCCTTTTCTTTGGCTTACTCTTTCCAGATTTGAATATGCCATGTCTTTATTTTGAATTTTTTTTAAAAAACTGAGCATCTGGGCTAAGGGTGTAGTAGCAAAATGCATGTGCATGGGGAAGCCCTGAGTTCAATCTCCAGCACCAAAACTGAGTGTCTGAAGTTTTATCCTGGGCAGATCAGGACCTTGCGTTGACACTTAATTCTTTTTTTTTTTTTGGTAGGGGGGATTGAACTCGGGATCGAACTTGAGCTTGGAGGCAGGTGGTGGAACCACTGTGCTAAATCCCTGGCCTGACATTTCTTTCTTTATGGGATGATTAAACTTCCTTTATGGCTTTGCATCTCACATCAGAAACAGCCACCAGGGAAACCCTGTTATTCCAGAGTAGTACTTAACCTTTTCTCTTAAGGTTTTCTCTCTTACACCTGTTTTGGAACCTGATGATAGCCATGGATCTTCTCCCCAGAGATATTAAACACACAAACATGTATGGGGCCAGGGATGTAGTTCAGTGGCAGTGCTTGACTAGCATGCATAAGGAGTTAGGGTTTGGGACCCAGCACCACCAAAAAAAAAAAAAAAAAAGAGAGAGAGAATTCATGTTTTGGAGAAAATACAAGTTTAAAAGAAGAAGTTGGGTGTGTTGGTAGACATCTGTAGTCCCAGCACTCTGAGAGGTTGTGACAGGAAGAGGACAAGTTTGAGCCCTGCCTGAGCAACTGAATGATTTTGTGAGACCCTATCTCAAAGTAAAAGGAATAAAAGAGGATGTAGATCAATGCAAAAGCCTTGGGTTCAATCCCCAGTACTGTGAAAAACAAAACAAAGTAACAAAGTGTTGGGAAAAATGTGGGGGAGATTAGAACCCTTATGCATTGCTGATGGGAATGTAAAATGGTACTGCCATTTTGGAACAGTGTAGCAGTTTGTCAGAATATTAAAAATAGGGACTGGAAGGGCCGGGGATTTAGCCCAGTGGTTCTGCCGCCTGCCTTGTAAGCACAGGGACAAGTGCAAGGACTCGAGTTCCATCCCAGGTACCAAAAAAAAAAAAAAAAAAAAAAAAAATAGGGCCTGGGGATACAGTTCAGTGATTACATGCTTGCTAAGAATGCAGAGTCCTAAGCTGAAGACCCAGAACCAATAATATGATAAGAAGAGAATATTTTTGCTAAGAAACACTGTCATACAGAGGAACAAGCATAGATAGTAATTGGAATTCTGGCTTATTCAATTTCCTCTGTATAAAATAGGTCCAGTAATACCTACCTTATATTAGATGAGATCATGTGAAATTCAAGTGGTGTGGTATTTATTTCCTCCTTTTCTTATAATATGAGCAGAGAAATGGTTTTGTATCTTGCTTTCATTTTTGTACATTTTTTTCTCTTGAAATCGCTATCTGTGGTACTGGGGATTGAACCTAGGGTCTTTGTGCTGAGCTATATCCCTAACCCTTTTTTAATTTTTATTTTAATTTTAATTTTTTTGGTACCAGGCATCGAACTTGGGACCTTGTGCTTGCACAGCAGGCAGCAAAACCACTGAGCTAAATCCCTGGCCCAAACCCTTTTTTAATTTTTATTTTTTGTGGGGGGAAGAGTCACACTGTGTAGTTCAGGCTGGGCTTGAACTTGCAGCAATCCTCCTGCCTCAGCCGCCTGAGTGCTGGGGTTACAAGCATGTGCCCCCACATCCAGCTTAAATTTCCCAGGCTGGACTTGAACTTGCAGTTCTTGTCTCAGCCTCCTACAATGCTATGATTATAGGTGTGTGCCACTACACCCAGCCTGAAATCTGGGCATAGTCTCCCTTCTACTTTGATGTCATCTTTTTTAGATTCTATATATTAGGGAGAACATACAATACTTGCTTTTCTGAGTCTGACTTATTTTGCTTAACATGAAGGTCTTCATTTCCATCCATTTTCCTGCAGATGACATAATTTTGTTCCTCTTTATTGCTAAATAATACTTCATTGTGTACATATGCCACTTTTTAAACCCATCCATCTGTTGATGGGCACCTAGACTAGTTCCATATCTTGGCTCTTTTGAGTTGTGCTGCAGTAAACAGGGCTGTGCAAGTGTCTCTGTAGTATGCTGACTAATTCCTTTAGATGGATATGAAGAAGTGTTATAGTTAGATGAAATGGTAGCTTTTGATTTTTTTTTTTTTTGGTATCGGGGATTGAACTCAGGACCTTGTGCTTGTGAGGCAGGTGGTGGAACCACTGAGCTAAATCCCTGGCCCTTAGCTTTTGATTTTTTGAGGAAACTCCGTGTTGATTCCCATAAGAGCTGTCCTAATTTACATTCCCACCAGCAGTGTAGAAGACACCCCCCCCATCCTTTACAGCATTTATTGTTGTTGTTATTATTAGTGGTATTGGGAGGTGAACCTAGAGCCTTTACACTGAGCTACATCCTACATCCTCAGGTCTCCCGTGCCTCCCATCCCCTGTACTTTAAAACAAAAACAAAAAACAGGGTTTGCTAAATTGACCAGGTTGATCTTTTTTTTTTTTTTTTTTAATGGGATTTCAGTATATAGTTCGAGCTGGTCTCAAACTCAGAATGATCGTCCTCCTTCAGCCTCCCAGGTGCTGAGATTACAGGTGTGTGCCACCACACCCAGCCTCCTTTGATGCTTTGTTTTTACCCTTAACACTTATCACCATGTGAAAAACTATGTATTTTAGTCATTTTGCTGTATTGTTTGTCTCCCTGTCTTCCTCTTATTAAATAGTCCCTGGTAAGTAGAAATCATTGAATGAGTTTTTCCTGTACCATAACCCATAGCCCCATTAGTTTGAGACCAGCCTGGGCTATATAGTGAGACCCTGGAGAGAGGGGTAGGGGTTGGGGAGAAAGGAAGAGAAAACAAGGGGGTGGAGGGAGAAAGAGAGAGGATGAGGGGAGAATGAATGAGAATGAGAATATGAATGAATGGAGAAGGAGGGCATCGTGGTTCATGCCTGTAATCCCAGTTACTCAGGAAGCTGAGGCAGGAGGATCACAAATTTTAGTCCAACCCAAGCAATTTAGAGAGAACTTGTCTCAAAATTAAAAGGTTGAGTGTAGCTCAGTGGGGTAGCTCAGTGGTAGCGTAGCATGTCCAAGGTCCTAATTTCAATCCCCAGCAGTGCATAAAAACAAGAGAAAGGGGGCATGAAGAACTGAGTTAAAGATCCCAGGCATACTGATTTTATGAACATGGATAGATATGTCCAGGACCCTGATTTTTTTAAATTAGTAAATTGAGGGCGGCTACTTGTGTAAGGTGCTTAATAATGTCATGATTTGGATGTTCCTTGATATCATGGTTGCTGAGACTCTTGGAGTTTCCAACCCAGAGCTTATTAATAATGAAGGAAAGCACTCCTGATTTAATGCAGTGGTGCCAACTTTCCTGACTGGTATCTGCTGGATTGTCTCCATCCATTCATGCCTGAGTCAGTCTAGTGCCAACCCCTTGACTTTACGAAAAAGTCATTCCCCTCCTTAATAGCTTTCCTTTAATTGCCACATTTGGTAAATGGTCTCTTGGAGACACCCTGATCTGACTGTTTTAGTTGAGTTCAAAGAGCCTCCTGATCCTGAAATTGATTTTGTTTGACTCTAGTGCAGCTGTTTTTTTCCCCCTGTTTATTTGTGAGGGGGGCCATATTAATACTGCAGTTGTGGGGAATAGCGGATAGAATGAACATTGGCTGGGAAACCTTTGGCTTTTGTCCTCCCAAGTTACTTTTTAAAATAATTAGCTGTGTGACCTTGGGCAAATTATTTAATTATACTGGTCTCAGTGTTCTCTAAAAAGTAAGAAAGGTTCCTGCCCTTTCTGCTTTACTGAATGAGTATGGCATGGAAAAATGAGGTGATGAAAAATAGAGTGCAGTGTATAAGGAAAAAGCACTCAAATTATTATTCTTTCAGTGACCCTACCACCAGGCCATGGCACTGCACAGAGGAGCATTGGGTCATTGAGAGCCTGGGCCTTACCATTTCCTGGACTTTCTTCACCAAAAGACTTAAAGAGAAAAGGGCTTTGCTCTAAGTCTGACCAGCCTTCCTTCAGAAGGGTGGGGTTGGGTGCCAATCTTGATTTTTCATTTCTGAGGGAACACATTGGCCTAGGGTAGTGGTGGTGAACCTAGGCCAGGCTTGCTGCAGGGGTTGTTTGTATCATTGAAATCTCTAAAAGGTTCACCATCAGGGGTCTAGGGATTTTTATTTTATTTTATTTTATCTTATTTTTTGTGGTACTAGGGATCTAACCCAGGGCAGAGGCAGCTTGCACTCTAGGCAAGTGCTCTACCACTGAGCTACATCCCCAGCCCTCGCTTGGTCTAGCTGTGCTGTTAATGTGTTTCTCACATTAAATCTGATAATGCCTTTTACCTGCCTGCTGCTTTCATTCTGTAGTCTTGGTATTTTCCATTACTTTCCCTTTTCACGCATCTCTCTTTCTTAGTAGGTAGGTAATAGGATTCTGTATCTAAGAGTTTCTGGGATTTTAACTGAGGTTGTAATAGAACCCAGTCCAGGTCAGTATTGTGTTTCAGGCATGCAAAATATTGTATTCCTTTTTTAAAAAGATTGTATTCCTTTTAGACTTACTCCTTTTACTGAAAACATTTTACCTGTCAAGAGAAACAGTATTTTTTCCTGTGCTGGTGAGTTTGGAGAGGGGTTGTTTTTAAGATAGTAGACTTTGTCTAGGGCTTCCTTACCCCTCTGTGGACTGGCCCCTAAGTTCTCTGCTGCTTCTGGGTGGACTTTTTGTTTGGTACCAGGGATTGAACTCAGGCTTCTGGGTAGAGCCATGGGAGTACAGCTTAACTCTAGTCTAAGGGATTCTGAGGTGTCACACCTGCCAATGCACAGAGGCTGGTTGGTAACTGAATGCTTCAGGTCTATCTCTTGAAGAATCTGAGTGAGTACCTACTGCTCCCACTCCAGATTCTGGTGAGCAAACTGCTGTGATAGAGACTTGGGGTTGTCAGAGGCAGAGGCCCACTTTAGTATGTTAGAGGAGTGACTGCCCCAGTGCATGAGGTGCTTTTTCCAGCCTGTTTTTTTTTTTTTTTTTTTTTTTCTTTTTTTTTTTTTTTTTTTTTTTTGCAGTGAGTCTGGCTGCAGCCTTGGCCAGTTGACCTTGGGGAGACACGCCCTGGCCACTCTATAGGAAATGATGTTCTTTCCCCTCCAGACAGGTGACCTTCCTTTGAATCTTGAAAGTTGCATCAAGGCCAGTCCAGACTCACCACATTTTCTCTTTTGTGTTCCTTGTTCCTGATAGCCTTTTGAATCTCTTTTAGAGCTCTGAACTCTTCACCCTGACCTACGGAGCTCTTGTCACCCAGCTATGCAAAGACTATGAAAATGATGAAGATGTGAATAAACAGCTAGACAAAATGTGAGTGAGCACCTTTGCAGGAGTGGAAAGAGGACTGGGGCTCCCCAGGACACCGAGTATTCATTGTACTTTACATCCCTGAACAGTGTCTTCCTGTGGGGTTACAGTTCCCACTGAACTCATTTTGGGGATGTTTTGAGGTTCCCGTGTTCTCCTTGCTAATAATAGCCTTATGTTCAAACATAAGACATTTAGAGCTCATAATGGTTTGTTCTCTTCCTTCTCAGGGGCTATAACATAGGAGTCCGACTGATTGAAGATTTCTTGGCACGGTCAAATGTTGGGAGATGCCATGACTTTCGGGAAACTGCAGATGTCATCGCCAAGGTCATTATCCTAGGCCACCTGGCCATGCTGAAGGATTGCTCCTGGGAGGCATCACTTACTATTTTGGCATCTCCTTTACCTTAAGGGAGACACCTAATCTCTCAAAAGAATAATTAGGCAGGTGTTTGGGCCCAACAAGCTTTCCCAGTGGTTTGGGAGTAGAAGATTATAAAGAAGGGAAGAGTGACTGGGATCATCCCTATGGATTAAAGCCCCACTAAAGTTAAAGATGGATCTCCTCCACTGTGAAGGTTTAGCAGAGTACCATGAGGATTACAGTACTGATGGAGGCTGGGTATGGTGACATACCTGTAACCCCAGCACTCAGGAGGCTAAGACAGGAGGATTTCCATGAGTTTGAGGCCAGTGTGGGCTACATAGCTTACTCAAAAAGACCAAAAACTCAATACAGAACAAAACCAAAACAAGAATACAGATGGAGCTGGGTACAGTGGTACATGCCAGTCATCCCAGCACTGAGAAAGACTGAAGCAGGAGGATTGCAGATTTGAGTCCTGCCTGGGCAATTTAAGGAAACCTTCTCTTAAATAAAAAATTTAAGAAGGGCTAGGGATGTAGCTCAGTAGTAGAATACCCCTGGCTTTGATCCCTAGTTCCACAAAAAGAAAATTTATATAGATGGAAGTGAAACTCAGAACACTTGCCTAGTATACGCAAGACCCTGTCCTTAGTGCTGCAAAACCACAACAACAAAAGAAAGATACAGACTATAAACATACCTGACTTCAAATTTTGATTTTGATATTTACTACACTGGATTCTTAGCTAAGTCACTTATACTTTTGTGCGTGTGTGTGTGTGTGTGTGGTACTAGAGATTAAACCCAGGACCTACGTCTCAGCTACATTCCTAGCCCTTTTTATTTTTTATTTGGAGATAGGGTCTCCCTGAGTTGCCCAAGCTGGGCTTGGACTTGAGATCCTCCTGGCTTAGCCTCCCAGAATGCTGGAATTATAGGTACCACCATGCCTGGAAACTTTTAACTACTTTAATTACTAGTTTCCTCACCTTTAGAATGGAAAAAATAAGAGCTACCTCACATGGTTTTTGTAGGGAGTAAATGAATTATGGAAATAAGCATTCAGGTAAGATGAATGCACTTAGCATAGTGTGCGTGTCATAAATGTTTACTGTTAATATTAGTGTTACATTGTTAGAGTATTAATATGCAATACCTATAGTTCTGTGATGTCATGTTACCTCAAGGATGGTTCTTTTAGTTGTAAGCATGCTGGCTCTGCCCACATCCTGAAGAGAGTTGACAGTGGAGCCAGCTTTGCAAGAGTTGAGAATGAAGAGGTGGGTGGGGAAGAGTGTCTTGAGTGTAATTCTAAGTGACCTGTGTTCACTTTTTTGAAGGTGCGTTCAGGTAGCACCAGTGGGGCCGGGGAGGTTTGGGACTTTCTGCTCAGGTGCTGGCTCAGGGCAGCTTCCGCTGTTGGAAGATCGGTGTTCCACTCCACTAAGAGGCACAGGCAGTGAGGCAGTTGGTGCTCAATTGATGAGGCTTTGAAGGAGGAGGATGTGGAATCGTGCACAGATGCTGCCTCTTTTTCCTGAATATCTAAAACTTCATTGTCTCTCAGAGGCCAGAGTTTTGTTCCTGAGCCCCTTGTGTCCCCTCAGCCCATAGTACAGTTCCTGCTGTCCTTCTCTGTAGTGCTATTGTGTGTCCCCTGACAGGTGGCGTTCAAGATGTACTTGGGCATCACTCCAAGCATCACTAACTGGAGCCCAGCTGGTGACGAATTCTCCCTCATTTTGGAAAATAACCCCTTGGTGGACTTTGTGGAACTTCCTGATAACCACTCATCCCTTATTTATTCCAATCTCTTGTGTGGGGTATTGCGGGGAGCCTTGGAGATGGTGAGTGTAGCTCTTTACCTTCTGTGACACCTGACATGTAGTAGGGGATTAATGTTTGAATGAGAGGGAGAAAAAGAGGGCTTCAGCTCATCCCTGCCCTTTGTTGCCTGAGATAGCCATTCTGCTGAGATGAGATCCAAGTTAGACGTCTCTGCGCAGAGCTGATCACCCCCCCTAGGCTGGAGGCTGGGAAGTGGTGCTGTCAGCCCCCACAGCCTAGGGACGTCCATTCCAAGACTGGCTTCCTTGGTGGCAGTCTCATTCTTGAGTTTCTCCTTGTGGGTTGGGGCTCCTGTCTTCTGCAGTGGAACCTTGGAGCTGGCAGTCCTGACCCTGTGAGAAACAACCCTTCTTTTTGACTGCTGTGTGTGTGTCAGTTACAGCCCCATCCCTCATGGTTCCCCAGAGTCTGTAGCTGGGCATCTGCCCCTCATTTTCCACTGTCCCCCAGGTCCAGATGGCAGTGGAGGCCAAGTTTGTCCAGGACACCCTGAAAGGAGACGGTGTAACAGAAATCCGGATGAGGTTCATCAGGAGGATTGAAGACAATCTCCCAGCTGGAGAAGAATGACCGTCCTTCCCAGGACTCGAGAGTAGCCAGCAAGAGCACTTGTTGGAGTCAGGAAGGCTCAGTGCCTTCTGCCTCTAGAACTCAGTGACTCTAACATGGATGTTATATGTTCTAACATTGTTTCCATTTTCCATGCTAATAAAGAGCAGACTGATACAGTCCATTTTCCCTACAAGTATGCACATTCGAAGGGGGATTCTTTGTTCCCTTTCCCTTCAGATGGGCTGGATGTACTCATCCTTGGTTGGACTAGAAAGAGCTCAAAGCATTTTATATTTCTGCGTGACTTTTCCAAAGCATACTTCCTTTGACCTGGTTAAGAGACAGGCCGGAGCTGGGCATGGTGGCTCCCACCTGTAATCCCAGCACTGTGGGAGGCTGAGGCAGGAGGGCCACAAGTTTGAGCCCACCCTGGGCAGTTTAGCAACTTAGTGAGGCCCTGCCTCAGAGTGATAAATAAAAAGGGCTGTGGGTGTAACTCTGTGAAGGCTCTGGTTTCAATCCCCTGTACTGAAGAAAAAAAAAAGTGACAAGCCTGCCACATTCACTCCTGAGTCTTCATAAAGCTCTTGGCAAATGGCTGTAGGGAATCTGGGGCTTGGGGTTGAAGGGCTGGGAGAGGGTGGGTAGGAATTATTAGCTTTAGTGTGATGCTCTGTAGAGTTTGGCAGGACATGGGAGCCAGTCATGTCGGAAACACCGGTTTCTGGGAAGCCACCCAGGTCTCATTCCTTCCTGCTGTTTGGAGGTAATATCTCCTCTTTTTACAGAGGGTTCATCCTTTTTTCTTACAAATTCTTCAATAAAGACACATTCTTGAGTGGAATCTTAATGTCTTCTTTTCCTTCTGCTCGATCATGAAAGGTTTGACTAGAAAGTGTAAATCATGGTGCTAGACTACTACTTACTGAGCACTTACACCAGTCAGACACTACTGAACACTTTGTGTTATCTAGTTGGCAATAATTCCATTTCCAGAGGGAAGGCCGCAAAATTGCCCAAGGTCATAAAGCCGTTAAATGGAGATGCCATGGTTCAAAGTTGGGCCAAACACTTAAGTCCGAGCTCTTGATGATGCTCTCTCGACACTTGGTTAGCCCTTCAGGAGAGAAGGAAGCAGGCCTGCAACCCCCTCTCCATGCCTTATGGAGCTTGGGATAGCATTTTATTTTAGTTTTTGAGACAAGGTCTTGATGTGTAACCCAGCCTGACCTTAACTCGAAATCCTCCTTCCTCAGCCTCATGAGTGCCTGGATGACAGGCATGCACCCCACGCAGCTTGGGACAGCTTTTAAATGGAGGAAGCAGAGGTTGTGTTAGGCCATATGTGGTAGCACTGCTCTTGGGACAGCCTGGGCCCTTTAGGTTGAGGGGAGCCAGCCTTAGGTATATTGTGTTTGAAGTGTGGCTTGGCTGTGCAAGACCAGTGTTCTGAGACCCGGTAAGGGGGCAGTTTGCACAGGACTTGGCTCCCGCTGGGTTAGGCCACCAAAGAGAGATGGTCACTTTTATGTCTGCAAGTATAGTGAGGCTCATGTTCTAGAATCCCATCTTCTTTGAGCCTCTTTACCTCTCCCTCCAGGTACAGTTTGGGGCCCCAGGGGTCAACTGTATCTTTAGCAGCAAGCATAAGGCTGTGTCCATACTAGAGTTGAATGGAATGAATAAAAGAAATTGAGGAAATGATTGTCAGGGCCCAGATGGGGAAAGGTTTGTGTGGTATCTGGCCCTGCCAGAAAGTGGGCTGCACCACCCTTTCCCTTCTTGTGGACTGGGGTTGAGGTCACCATTCCTTTCCTCCCTGTGCTGCAGCCTACTTTCTAGCAGCTGTTCCCATGGAGTAAGGTTTTGGGTATTTTCTTTCCCAAGTTAAACTTGGCAACATTACATGGTTGGTAAGCTGTGGAAACAAGGCTGCATTGTGGCTTTTCCCACTTAGGGCCCCACAATTGTGTGATGTACACCTGAGGGCAGAGGGAAGGAAAAGGGCCAGGAACTGAGGAACTGTTGGGAGCATCACCTTGTTGTCTTTCCAAATGCACCAAGTCTACACCCCTGGCAACCTCACTTCCTGCCCCCATGCTCACCCCTGTAATTGATGGTTTGTAGATTATGAATCCCTTGATCTCACCATGACTGAGGCTGATACATCCATTTCCCATTCTCCCTGGTGTACCTGCAACCCCTCTGTTACGGTTTGTATCTAGATGTCCCCTCAAAGCCTCATGAGGTCATGTTTTTTGGAGGTGGTGATACACTAGGTTGTGTGATACTGGGATTAATGGTGCGATGCTGGGATTAAGGGTGCCCCACCCTCGGTGTGAGTGCTACCTGCACTAAGGGTGGGTAGCCTCCATGGACTCTGAGGGACAGAAAGGGGTGCTTCTGTCACTTGCTACTCCACTTATTGCTGGTGCTTTGCTGCATTCTGTCTGCCTCTGGGATGCCCTTCTGCCATGCCCCCTGCCTTGGAGCCAACTGATTATGGACTGAAACCTCTGCAAACTGTGAGCTACAATAAACCTTTCCTCCTTTAACTTTGGGTGTCTCAGTAATGAAAGTAAAGTAGCTAAGATACCCTCCTACCCCCCAGCAAGATGGGGGAGGATTATGGAGCTAATATGTGAGGCCATCTAGTGAGGATGATTTTCCAGGGAGCAAAGTTTTGGGGCTGGAGGAGACTATGGTGGCCCTTGAGCCTGGACCAGCTGGGCAGAGCTCTGGGAAAGGCCTCGCTCTTCAGCCTTTGGCCACCAGGGGTCTCCACATCATCACCCTACTGTCCTAGAAAGTGACCATTGAACTCAGGGCTTTCAGAATTTGCTAGAAGACGCACCTGATGGAGCAGATCTCTGAAGCTAGCCAGAGCGAGGAAGTGTCTGCCTTCTCCAGTCACCCACATGAGACCTGAAAGCAAGGCATGCGTGGCTAAGTGCCTGCCTGATGAACTCCCAGTGTTGGAAGAGGATGTCTGGCCCATATGTGTTCCAAACTCTCATGCTGGTCTCCTGCGTTATTCAAGCTACAGCTCTAAACTCTTCCCTAACCAACTCTTCCTGAGTGGAGTCCAGAGCACCCGCCCACCTCCCTGATGTAACAGTCCCCTTTCTGTCCCAGACCCCCAACACCAGTGAAGTTTCCACATTAAGGTTACTCCTTCTCCTAGGAGGTTGGCTTCCCTTACGTTTGTATTGAGCATCCAGGTCCAAGGATCGGGTGGCAACAGAGGGCCCAGGAGCTGAAATCACATTAAGTGAAATTAAAATAGTCTCCTAACAAGTAGTTCATTGTGGCTGGTGGGAGGTGGGGTGCAGGAAAAGCATCCTCCCATCCTCCCGAGCTTAAGTGCTACCATGTGCTGTTCTCTGGAAGCCAGCAGGCTGGTGGGAGGGAAGGTTTGGAGGGAAGGGTGGCGGCAGGCGAGGAGATGTGCTGTTACGATACTGAGCCTTTGATGTAGGGCCAGGCCTGACCCCAGGACAGCCGCTGGCCACTGCTAGAGGAGCAGTGGGACAAAGTACATTCCTGGGGGCAATTTTCACTCTGGCAGAGAAGGAAAGTTTCTACTGTGGGGAAGGAGTGGAGGAAGGGCGCAGCACTGGAGGGAGCCAAGGCCCGGGGCAGCACCCTCTTGCCTCATCCTTGTTCTGTACCCTTCTTGGCTGGAGGCCGCCTCCAGGAAGCTTTCTCTGAGGGAACCCAGAAATGGTGAGGACCAGCACATCTACCCCACCACGTGGGACGGCTCAGGTAGAGCCCAGGGCATGCAGGGAAGCAGCTGCTCTTTCCTGCTGGCTCTGAGTCCCTGGACTGCCATCTGAGAGGGCAGCTCCACTGAGCAAGGCCAGAGGAGGGGTGGGAAGATGGTGTGGATAGCACGTGTTTGTGGGCAAAAGTATTCATCGCAAAGTGGCTGTGTGCCAGGGCCGGGCTAAGTACTTCACACATATTTCACAGCCCTATCACAGTTCCCATTTTGCAAATGAGGACACTGAGGTGCACAGCTAATACATGGTAGATTCACGACTTAAACCCAAATAGTAAGGACTTACACATCTAGATCTTATCCAGTGCATGACAAGTTACACACACATTCTATGTTTTTATGTCTCAGTGTGGGTCTTGTGTCCTTGTATTCCTTAGGGAGTGTGTCTGTGCATGTGAATTCTTTCATTTTAACCAACAGCCCTGTGCTAAGGGCTGGGGACATGGAGATGACCCAGACCCCAGCCCTACCTGCTGGAAGCTTCTGCCTACAGAGAAGCAAATGAATGTGAGGTAGGGTGAAGGGCAGAAGAAGGGGCTGAAAATGACAGACAGGGACAAGCCCTGGCTCTGCTGCTTACTAGCTATGTGATACTGGACAAGTCATTGGTTTTTTATCTGGAAAATGAAGGAATCTTGTTGACTGTTTTGAGGATGAAACAGAATCATACACACACACACACACACACACACACACACATATAATTTTTCTGGGATGTATTAAATATTCCTTAATCGGCAATTATGATTAACATGAGTGTTACTGAGGAAACCATCTTGCAAAACTTCTATACGAAGCCAGGCGTGGTGACTCAGGCCGGTAATCCCAGTACTCGGAAGGCTGAGACGGGAGGATTGCCACAGAGTTCGAAGCCATCCTGGGCTACATTGTGAGACTCTGTCTCAAAAATAAATAAATAAATACCTCTATATGAGTTGGGCATGGTGGTATTATAGATAGATGAGGGAGGTAGAAATATTATAGGCAGTCAGATAGTCAGATAGCCTCAAGATAAAGACAAGATGACCAGACCCACATACTTCCTCAGAGAACAAACTGGGCCTAATGAAGTCTGGGTAGACATCAGCCACCACGGTGGGTGACCAGAGACCTCTACACCCACCATTTCCTAGGAGAAGCTTTGTTAGGGCTGGGGATTTAGTTCAGTGGTTCCACTGCCTGCCTCTCGAGCACAAGGTCCCGAGTTCGATCCCCAGTACCAAAAAAAAAAATTTGTTAGGAGAAGCTTTGTTCTTTCCATCCACGTTTATTACATGACTCATTTCCTAATTGGATCACTATTACCTAAGTGGCTACACTTGTAACCTTACTGGATGATCATCGGTGTGCCCCACATTGTACCCAAGTGGGTTTCAGCCTATAAAACTCCTCTGTAAAGTGGGGTCCCTGGGCTACCCACTCAGGTCCCCTCCTGCCCCTCAGGAGCCTTCCTATCAATAAATATCTTCCTACTCTTAACCTCTGTAGTTCCTAGTACTCATTCTTCGATTTCTAGAGAACAAGAACTTGGCGTATCGTAGTTAACAGGTTGGGAGATATAATATTTCATATTTCATCTCTGGTGTTATTTCCTGTAAAAGTTGCACAGGTTTGTAATCCAAACACTCAGGAGGCTGAGGCAGAAGGATCACTGCAAGTTCAAGGCCAGCGTGGGGTACGTAGGGAGACCTTGTCTCAAAAAACCAACCAAACAAAAATACCCAAAAACCCACTATATGGATATGTGAGTGTCTGAGTGTGTGGAGGGGAATTTTGTGAAATCAGGACATGTCTCTGTTGTTCATCACTGTATCCCTAGCACGACTTTGCAGCACAGAGGTATTCAGTAAACAGTGACCGACTGGGTGTTGACTAAATGTTAGTAAAGGATGGGGAGGAACCATAGAGAAGAGTGGGTAACCAGCGAGTCCTCCACAAGACCAGCTGCTTCTTTCCTTCCTTTGTATCAGCTACTTTTTTTTTTTTTTTAAATAGTGGATCTAGGGATTGAACCCAGGACCTTGGACATGCTAGCCAAGTGCTCTACCACCTGGCCCTTT